TTACATGTTTAAAGCTCCCAAAGTACCAATAATAAAAAACAGAAGAAAAACATAGGGAGCAGAAAATGTAAAAACATTATTTGTGGTTATTTCTCAGTTATTCGCATAAATAGCAGCTGCTGATTTCTAATTGACATCAACTAAAGAAATCATACATGGTCAGACATTAATATTTTCCTTAAAAATATGCTTTATTTTCCCAGTTATTAATTGATAATCATCATTTGTTTAGCCAGTAAGTTAAAGTTCGGGATAATAATAAGTTGGGCCTCTGACAAAAAAAACAAAAACTAATTTAATCCTTGTATATTGTGCAAATACTGATTTTTCACTTTTTATTTATCAAGCCTTGCTATTCTGTGTTATTATTCCAGTTGTTGCATTTTGATCTTTCTCCATTCTAAGTACACAAAGCTGTATAATCCCAAAAGCAAAATGCATGTAGGGTGATTGATTGTATCACTCTTAGACACATGTGATGGTGATGTAAGCCAGAAATGCACTCACTGTTCAGTATTTGAGTCCATTCACAGAGTCCGGGCTGAGGTAATAATCATTCCAAGGCTGTAAGTCCATTTCAGTCTTCCCCCTCCACTTCCTATTTAGACCAGACTCTTCATATTAGAACTGTATTAATGATTGTGCTTCCATTCCTTTTTTTTTTTTTACTGTCAAAACAAAGTGATGCAACATGTTCTTACTCATACAAAGAATGACAGCAAACAGGGATTTTCAGAAAGTGCACAATAAAAGGGCAAATATATCAGAACCAAACATTAAATAAGCTTAAGAGTAAATATCAAATTAAAACAGAAAATACAAAAACAGATTTATATGAAAGATTTGCATCACAAATCCATAGAGATTCAGCAGGTATGTTTAGTCTGCAGCCCAGTTCATTAAATTGTGTAGGATTGTTTTTATTATTATAGTTTCCAAGATGTCCCATTAATAATTGTACTGATCATGTACTGATCACTGTCTTCTTACAGCAACAAACAAACCTTTCAATGCACATGCTTATGTTATTCAGAGAAAATAAGACTAAATGTTGTTTTTTAAAGGAATCTATGCCCTTTTTTCAGAACTTGCTTAGATTTAACTGCTATCAGACGCAGTGCACAGTGGTAAGTGGGTGGTATGGTGGTGCAAAAGGTTGCACTGTTGCCTTAGTTCAAACCTTCTGGCCACCTCAGACCTTCCTCCCACAGTCCAAAGTCATCCATATTACAGTAGGTTAACTGATGATTTTAAACTGGCTGTAGGTGTGAATGGGAAAGTGAATATCTGCCTGTTTCTCTATTTTAGCCCTATGATAGACCCATCTATCCCATCGAGGGTGTATCCCGCTTCTTACCCATTATCAGCTGGGATGAGCTCCAGCCCCTCCACAACCTTGAATTGGATAAAGGGATGGATGGGCAGTGCTTCAGAATGAAACCATGATTAACAGATTTACTGCTGTATAGATATGGCAGTAAATCTGGATATCATAGAAAATATATCTTTTCAGTCAGAGAATGAATAAAGACAAATTCAGCTTAAAGCACTTAAATATAGACCCAGGAAGAAGAATGTGAAGAGAATGTCCCATTCTCTCTCTCTCCCTTTCTGCCTCGCTCCCTTTCTCTCTGTGTAGCTGTAATTGCTGTGCATAACACTCAGTGTCTGAAACATTACAAATTTGCAAAAAAAAAATCTGTATTGCATATAATTAACTGACGTTATTGTTGCAAGAATAACACTGATTACTTAAACAGACTCATCTCAATTTTGAGTAAACATAAGCTGGTAGCATAGCCATTTCTCAAGCTTTTCCGCTTGAATTGGAGCGCAGCTTGACGGCTCAGTAAAAACCTCTGAGCCCTTTGATCATGATGTGCTCATTTCAGCATTGCTTCAATCCAAAAGGGAGTCCCGCTTTAGTTTCAATGTAAGTTAGAGCTGAAATGAATGTTAGAGCATTTTCATGGGGTCTTTCTTAGTCTCTCTCAATCTATCTTTTCCAACCGCTCTAAAAAAAGATTCATACCATTATTAAAAAAGATATGTGAGGGCCAGACAGAAAACAAGAGTAGTAAGTTTCCAGAGTAAAAATGGGGGAGGAGGGGGGTGGGGGGGTGGAGTGGAGACTGATAAAGGGAGTCTGTGCAAGGGTCAAGTTTTGATATCTAAAACTTTCAGTTGCAGATTTGTGTTCAGAAATTACGCTTGGGTAAACATGTCCAAAAATCAGACCTTTAATTCCACGTTAATCCTCTTTTCTGCTGCCCTATCCATGGCTGACACGGTTTCCCCGTGGAAACATTTGCTATGGGTTTGAATGTTGACTTTGAAGTCCAATTTTTCTATCAGTTCATAGAATAGTTATCGCATGGTAGCTTTCCCTTTGCTCTTCGTGGGATTATCAACCTTTTTTTTGTTTTTTTTAATTTTTGTTTTGTTACAGCATGTTACAAGTTTTCAGACAACAGTTTATCTTCCTGTTATGGAGTGTTGACCAGTTCCTCCAGATCTTTTGTGGTATTGATGAAATCTGCATTGCGTTATTATGGCGTTTGTTGATTAAAGATCTGCAGAATTCCTCATTCATAAATATAAAAAATACATTTTTGTTCAGACTCTCTTTTAGATCTTGAAACTGGATTATGATACAAAATATTCCCCACATCTCAGAAATTTCAAGTCAGTAGAGTTGACAAAGCTCTTGGAATGACTAATAAAAAGCATCCATAATAATTTGTCTCCTTATCGAGTCACTTCAGTTTAGAGAAATTCTACCCATTTATACTCTCTTTGTAGCATATTTCAGTTAGAGGCCTCTGTTAGAGATCTGATCGCTTTTGCGAGTAGATACATTTAAGCGGGGGCTTAGCATCAAAGTATTACTATTCATTTTAAATAAATATAGGTAATCTTACAGCACAAATACTATCATTAGCCTGTATTTTGGTTCATTTTCCCAAACAATGTAGTGATGATAAATGTGACGCCACTTATGAAACATCTTCTAACAGTAAAACAATAACAATATATACTGTCTGTCTAAAACACAGTACATGGAATAATAACGAGTGGTGGTGGCTAATTAGGGGTTAAAATATGACTATCTGCCCTCCTCTTTCTCTTGGTCTCACACTGTAATTATACCACTACACAAAACAAAATATATGTTTAACTGCATATGACAAGATCCTTGTTGGATGAAATGTGTAATTTACAGCCTTCCTGTGTCAGTTTGACAGTTTTCAGATGCAAACCTGTCCAGCAAACGTAGATATTGGTGCACAATGGTGGTCGATTACGAATATGTTTTGGTCTTGTCAGCAATATCAGAGGTGCAGGTTCTCATAAAATTGAGGAACTCACTGATAGAATAATAGCAATCATTCCCAGGTGATCGTGGCTCAAGAGTTGGGTAATCGGAAGATTGCCGGTTCGAACCCCGGCTCAGACAGTCTCGGTCGTTGTGTCCTTGGGCAAGACTCTTCACCTGGTGATGGCCAGAGGGGCCAATGGCGCGATATGGCAGCCTCGCCTCTGTCAGTCTGCCCCAGGGCAGCTGTGGCTGCAACTGTAGCTTGCCTTCACCAGTGTGTGAATGTGAGAGTGAATGAATAGTGGCATTGTAAAGCGCTTTGAGGGGTCCTGAAAAGCGCTATATAAATCCAATCCATTATTATTATTATTATTACCTGGAATTATCCATAATTGCTGATTGTCTCATCAGCAACACATGCAGTGAATGCAAAGTTAAAGTCAGTGTTAGTCAGTTACTGCAGCTGGGTATTGCATATAGAGATATCTAATTACTTCATGTAGCCAAATGAATTGTAAGGGTCGAGTTGTGAAACCATGATTAGGTTTGTATGCAAAGAAAATGGGACAAAAAAAAGAAAGTGTGCGGTTGCAAGTGAAAGAGTTTTCAAAGAATGCTTCTCTGTAAGTTTAGGGATGCCTCAAAATGATGAATGATTTAATTTCCTCTTTTGTTCTGCCCTTTGAACATTCTGAGGAGAATCCACGAGCAACAGTGATTATTTATGTTAACCCTCAAAATAGACTTCACTGCAGCAATTTTAGGAAAAAAAAACTTTCCATCTAATTCTTATGATTTGTCTCATTTGGTACATATTTTGCCTCAAGATATAGACTAAGAAACAGGGTCGATATACTAAGATGTTGCATCTGTGCTCAGGATAGATTTTCTTTTTTGTTTTTTGGGGGTTTTTTTGGGGGGGGGTGTTGGCCTAATTTCTGATTTTGGCCCTCAGTAGCAAAAATATAAACAAAAATGGGTACAATGGGTTCTGTGAATTTCTTCAGCCTCATTTACATTTGTGCATATGCCCCTGTATTTTGTCCATTCTGAGTACTAAAGCACTAGAGCACTCGATGACTCATCAAACCTTCACTGATGCAACAGTAGGAACCTAATCATGCACGCACACAGACACACACTGGACACAGAAAGAGGTCTGGCCTCAGCGATTTCGCCCAACCTCTCTTTAACAATGCAGCATGACTTGGCACATGCTGGGCAGCTGCTCCCCCCTGTGACTGCTGGGATTGGTGTGCTTATTGTGAACTCACTGCTGCACATCACCTCTGATTTGTATGTGCAATGCAGGCATTTTAAAGTGCTTTCCTTTATAGCGAACATAGACACACACAAAGATCTCTGGGGACCGCAACACCTGCCTGCAGTTTCATATCCTGTAAACCCCACGAAACAGACAGACAGGAGTGCTTGTTGTGTTTTGTCACGCTTTAGATCAGGAGCAAAGAAAGAAACCTGCCTTTAAGCCTTTTGGAATGAAGCCTGAGAATATACTCTGTGTGTGCAGAGGTTGAAAGTGCAGCTTGTGATTAAATGTTCCTCGAATATAGCACCACATAAGACAGCAACTCTCTAAGTGCTTTTTCTTTTTCTCTTTTTGTTTGTGTTTTTGCATTTTCACCCATATCATATTTTCATACCATCTTTTGTCTACCATCAGATATCCGAGGTTTGCAAACCTTTATGGACCAGGCGTCTCGGCTGGGTCTAGATGTTTCCTTGCAGAGGGTGGACCGGAACGTTAGTCGGGTATTTACTGACCTCTTCAACACGATGCGCACTGAGGAACTCAACCGGTACCGGGACACTTTACGGAGGGCCGTGTTGCTCATGAGCCCTCGAGGTGCACAGGTGTTCGTCCACCAGGTAGGCTGTGTTATTGACTCTTGTTTTGTTTTGTTTTTCAATAATGGATGCAACAACAAAGTGTTGTAGTCAAACACCAAGAGGAAAAACAAATGCTGCATAGAGATAATGATCCATAAAAAGAAAAGCATTTCCTGACACCCTTAATCTGAAGCAAATGAAAAAAAGTACACTAGTAGTGAGGGAAATAATTAATTGAGCCCCTGCTGAATTTTAAGTTTGTGCACTTAGAAAGGAAAAAAACAATCTCTAATTTTTATAGGTGTTTTATTTTAATGAAGGTAGACAGAATATCACCCAAAAATCAAAAAAAAGCACATTAATAAAACTACAAAAATTGATTTGGAATTTGATCCCATACCCAGCCAGAATTCTGGCTCCCACAGAGTGGACATGACATTATATTGACAATACAGATACTCCTGATTTCATCTTGTTATAAATATGAAGCATGCCTAAAGTATACATCGCATCCATTCCATCCGCTCCACCACCATGGGCATGACCAAAGAGCTCTAATACGGGGAAGATTGTAGACCTGCACAAGGCTGGAATAGGCTACAAGATCATCAGCAAGAATCTTGGTGAGAAGGTGACGGTTGACAAAGAACACCATCTCCACAGTCAAGCACAGAGGTGCAAGCATTATGCTTTGGCTTGTTTTTCTGCTAAGGCAACATAATTACTTTACCACATTGAGCAGCCAATAGATGAGCCCTTGAACTAAAAAATCATGGACAAGAACCCCTTTTTCCTCAAAATCCATGCATCCTGGATGGGTCTTTCAACATGGCAATGACCCAAAACATACCACCAAGGCAATAAAGTGGATAAACAAGACTGGCTATAGAAGAAGCGCATTGAGGTTATGGAATTTCCAGACCTCAGTCCTACAGAAGATCTGTGGAGGCAGCTGAAACTTTGAGTTGCCAATCAAGAGCCAAGAAATTTAAAGGATTTAGAGAGTTTCTGTAAGAAGTTGTAGGCCAAAATCAACACTTAGATGTGTTGACCAACTACAAGAAACGTCTTACTGTTGTACTTGGCAACACGGATTTCTCCATCAAGTACCCTTGTTGGAAAGTACAATAGTACTTGTCAAGCAAAACATGACTTGGTAGGCCAAATATAGATGATTGTGACTGTTGGTATTCCATTGAAAGATGGTCTCTAGGACTTTAAAAGCCACTCAAGAAAACATAGAATGCTGTAAATAATTACACAATATAACCAGCATTTCTACAATAAAACAATAATAAACAATAATTTGTTCCTTAATGCTGAAAAGATCAACAGTTCAGATAAAATAAGCTGTGTGTATCCACAGAGGATTCTCTCTCAACTCATTCTGGGTCATAGTATCCCAATTTGGAAGCTCTTAGTAACACCACCGCTATTTGCTCCTTCTACATCATATTTGCTTATTAGAGATGGATGCGTAAAACAGAAGGCAATATATCTAACTCTGTTTTAGCAGACATCTTTTCTGCCTTTAATCTCACCTCAGTAAGTCCAAAGTTCATTAGTTAATTAGCTGGCCATTCCTCAAAACAGTTTTAAAAACATAAACTGCTGCATGAAAATAAACAAGTTTTCCTGCGTTCTCTCTGTTAAAGGGTGTCTGAAGTGAAAGGTGTCCTTTAATTATTTGTTGGGAGTTTTGTCAAAGCGTGTTGAAAGATTATGTAATGTACTGCATAAGCATGTTTGAAGAATGGGCTTGTGTGGCACTGGAATTGCTGGACACAGTGAAGAAATATGGCAAAATAAAACTGAGTTGAATGGCTTATTCTGGCCAGCAAAGGCATCGAGGTCTGACACTCAATCTTCTGCTCTTCTGGCAAGGACAGATACACGCTGATAAAGATTTTTCCAGAAGATTTCAAACAGACTTGAAAAGGTTTGACCTCAAAGGGTACAAAAGGAAAAGGGACATTAAAATATGGTTGCAGATAAAGAAATTATGCCAGTTACACAATAGAAAAATCTTTTTGTTTGAGTTTATCTTACCTGTAGCATCCATCTGTCTGGTAAATACAAGATTAAAGAAGGTAATGGTTTATTAAGTCCATTATATTTGCTTAGTGGAAATTTCCTTTAATGATATTTGACGTGAACATAAGACAAGTTATAGTATTACTATAGTCCACAAAACTAATCCATGGAAAGTAATTACTTAGGCATTGCAGAGATTTAATACTAATAGATTGGGCGGTAGTGATAACTATTTTCAGCTGAGCCTTTATTTATTCTTGTTTTCGGAACACTATGGAAGGCGCTATTTTCACTTGATACGAATGTTTCATATTGTGAAAGATTTAAATGTTAAACTATTAAATGCTACGGTTGAGCTGTGGGAAATGAAAACAGGCCATGCTGATGTAGTGATTGGCTTTACAAAAGCAAAACCTAAAATTAGTCCATATTTGTCTTTTATTGCCATTGTAGCTTAGTGCATTTTCAGCGTGCTGGATGATAGGGAAGACATGTTATGATACTTGTGTTTGTAATGTAATTGTGTACATATACTTCGTGTGTCGTCAAAGGTTTTACCCTGACAGGACTTTATTTCACCTCTGTTTATCCTCAATCCTCTGCGCTCATTTATTTAATCTGTCTATCTATTGTGAGCAAATACCATAGGAAAAAGCCTTAACCTCCTGTAAGTCAAAACCCTCACTTGCATTCTGATTAGCTTATTGTCAATGCTCTACAATTAATCTAAAAGTGAAGCACTTACAGACAAATGAATTAGCGCACAGGCCGTGAATACACAGAGGCTTTCAAGTTTCATTAATGACACACTGCTTCGATCTTTTCCTTTGCTGCAGTGAATTCGGTTTTAGTATACAGGTACACAGGCTGGTGCATAAGTTGTTTATTCACAAAAAGATTTAATCTAGAGAACTATATCCCTTATCATTCCTTATGCAATTAGCATAAGGCATCTGTCAGGCATCTTGGGGACTAAGAAATAAGCGCAGCTTTGCAATTGGCACACCCTCCAAATGCTCCTGTGAATATGTTAATGTAAGTGTTGGAGATATGTACATTTATCAAAGCTTCATTAATACCTTTGTAATGGCTGTCAGTGTGTCCACACCTCACCAAAGATGCTGGGGCAGAAAATTCAAATAGGCAAATATCTCAGTGGAAAATATGATGCCTTGAGGAGTTTAGTACTCATGAGATGACATCAATTTGTAGGCACCAGTGTGATGTAAATGTTAACAAATGTGTTTAATAGCTAACTGAAATTGATGATATTAGTTGTCCCAATGATATGTGAAAGGTGTGACAGAATGTGTTATGGTAGCCTTGAAGGACACGCTGAATAACCACTAAGAGATGTAAAACATGCATAAGATTCCCATCCCCCTCCCTCCATACACAGAAAAATACTGAGAACCAAGTTGACTGCAAAGAGAAGAAGAAAAAAAACAGAGAAAAAATTACTTAAGAGAAGCCACAAAGAACTACAAAGAGATGCAAACTAACTTGAGTGAAATCTATTACAACACAAAGATGCATGGCAACCACAGCGAGACTAAAAAGGGTCTGTAAAAAGACCCAAGTGGACTAGCAAGAGACACAAAGGGACTACAGAAAAAACCTAGGAGGACTACAAAGAAGTGCACAATTTCCCCAAAGATTGGAAAAAGGACAACAAAGGATCCCAGACAAGTACAAAGAGGCACCAAGAGTCACAATACTGTACAAAGATTCAGAACAGATGCAAGTGATGGTAGAGATGCATAAAGGCTGGGGCCCAAACATAACATGACTTCAGTATTAACAACCCTCTTAACCTGACAACTTAAACATGAATATTTACAGCCTTTAAGGTCTTTTGCTTTTCCAGCAGAATGACTGTCCATATTCCAAAAGAATTCCCCCTCTCGATTTACTATAGTACACGAACTGAATCTCTATCTTTCTTTCTTCGTCAGCTTCTCAATAAGGCAGAGAAAGTCTGATGTGCCATTGCAGTTTTAAAAATCCAACTTTTAAATCCGAGGACCGCAGCTACAGGGACATTTATGGAGGGCTATGGATGACTTTGGTCCTTTAAAGTTGTATAAAAACCATTTGCAACGAATGAGGGAGTGATCTTCGATAACACTCTAAGTTTTAATAAACAAATAAATGCTGTTCTTAAAGCTAGCTTTTTTCAACTTAGGGTACTTGGAAGGGTGACGCTCTTTCTCTGCTTAAGTGATATTGAAAAGGTTATTCATGCATTTATTTCATCTCAACTTCACTATGGTAACAGGCTCTGTTCAGGTCTCACTCTGTCAGTGCTTGGCTGAATGAAGCGCAGCTGCTAACCAGCACATGCAAACAAGACTCCTCCATGTTGGCTTTCTTACATTGGCCCCCAGTCAGATTTCAAATTTATTTTAAGAATTTATTTTTTGTTTTGAAGTCTTTGACATTTCTACACCTCTCTGATCTTTTATCACTGCTCACTCCCCCTTGAGATCTGTTGAACAAATGCTGCTGGCTGTCACAAGGTCAGATTAAACCACAAAGTTGATTGGGTCTTTTCAGTAGCTGCTTCTAAATTGTAGAGCTAGCCACCTCTCCACATCAGGATGTCCCCAACATTTGACACTTTTAAAAGCCACAATTAATTTTATTCTTTTATCCTTCAAACCAGGAGGCCAAGTATATTTTCCTGGCACTGTAAATAGATTTGACCTGACATTTTGCTTTCCATGTCAGCTCTTTTAAAGATTTTTATTATGTTATTAAGGTTAAGCCTTATTCAGAACATGATAATTTGCAGTGGCTAAGATTATGATGATAATATTTTTCAACTTAAGGCTGTCACTTTGACACCCTTTCCAAACCTGCAAGCATAGTGCCTTGCCTTTTGCCCCCTTCTTTTTTTCTTTAAATATTCTTATGCTTTAAGTCCCATATTCTCATCAGTCCATCGTCTACAAGGCCAGGTGTGGGTGAACTGAGCACATGAAAAAAGGGCACCTCTGTTCTAC